AGCAAGGCAGGGTGTCCTTGCCCCAGTCCTGCTCTTGCCCATCCTAGCTGAGGAAGGGTGGCCAACAGAGGCAGCTTCCCTGCTTCCTTTTGCTCTTTTTTGGCAGGAAAACTCTTAAACAAACAAATGAAGAAACACTGAGGATTTAAGTAAACAGCTGAAGATTTATCTGACAGGCAGGCAGAGCTGTTCCTGCCCCTTCCCTCCCTCCCCACAGGGCCGTGGCAGCCACAGCCCCTGCCCTGAGCCCCACAGCCCCTGCCCAGGACGCCAGGGCAGGGCCAGGCTGTGCCTGAACCCCAGAGCTCTGCAGCTGGCAGCTGAACTGGGCACAGCTGAGCCCCCTGGTCCGTGGCCAGAGCAGTGAGACAGCCCTGGGAGGGAAGCAGTGCCTTCATCCAGTGGCCAGGTGCCATCCCTGCTGCAGGGCACACCTGGGGAGGAGCCAGCTGTGCCCACAAGGCACCCACCAGGGCTCCAGCTGTGCCCTGAGGCACCGATGCCCCTGCTGTGCCCACCCAGCCCAGGGCTGGCACAGCTGCAGCCCCTCCTTGTCCCCTCCATATCCCCCTGCCAGGGGTGTCCCCACATTCCCCATTTTCCCACACAGATTAGCAGGTTCTGCCTGCAGGTTTTAGAACTGGGGGGAAAAAGAAGGTAAGAAAGAGATGCAATAGTGGGATTTTCCAGTTGGAGGCTGAACCAGGCTTGTTCCAGCAAACAGAAGAGCCTGTGTAGCAAGAGGGACTCCCAAGCTCCATCTCACACCCAAAATCTGCTGCTGCTGCCATGGAAGTGTTGATATTGCTGCAAAAAGCAGGCAGGTAAGCAAACAGGCTCACATGGAACCTGCTGTTAACAGTCCAGGAATAATTCATCTGTCCAGGAAAGCTGCAGCATTTAGCACCCAGTCCTTAGGGCATTCACAAAGTGGAAACTGCTTAAGGAAAGCAAATCTGCTCAAAGAGATGGAAGAATGTCCACCCCAGAATTTGCTCTGGTTTAACTAAATCAGTTAAAGAAATTAATTTAGACAGGTGTTACTGTAGCTGTGCACACACAAACCTCAGTGGCAGCTCCAGAAGCAGAGGGACAAAGTTGGCAGCAGTCTGTGAGGTGTTGGAAAGGAAGGAGCATGAGGAGATAGACAGGAGGGGAGGTGAAAGGCAGACACGAGCAGGACGCTGCACACAACAGCCTTGCCAAGCAAAGATACAGGCAAGCAGCCTGGCACAGTGACAGCCAGAGAAAGAGAAACAGGCAACAAACAAGGCAGTTGTACTTCTCCATCCTCTGAATCAGCCCTACCCAGCCAATCACCTTCTCCCACAGGAGACACAGTCCCAAAGAAAAGCAAGTATTTCACCTAAACCAATAAAAAATACAGTGTCACTCTCCTATTCCTCTTCAGGCTATTCTTGCAGCCAGCATCATAAAACATCTCTCATTATTTGCACAAACATAGAAGAAACAAAAGAGAACCCTGAAGGATGAGTTCCTTCAGCAGATGCAGAAAAGAGGGGGCTTGGTAAAAAAAGCAGGGTGTTGTTCTAGGAGGCTCCATACTGTAAGTAATCCCTGAGCAGTCCTTGCAAAGCATTTGGGGAGGTTTTTAGCCTGAAAGACTTTACAGAAATAAATTGTAATTGAGTTTTAATAATCTTCCCCTTTTCAGAAAGGGCCTGACAGATGCTGCCTAGTGCTCACTTCTGCCCCATTTCAAATATTTTTACCTTATTTGGATGAAATATATTATTTTTCTAAAGAAAGGAGGTTGGGTTTTGTTTTTTTTTTCTCTCCAAAGAGATGGTTTTCCCTTCGTCCAGCTGGTGCCTTTATTAGGTTAGTGCTTGCTCCCTTTTGGGGATGGGATTGTTTTTTTCCCTGATCTGGGACAGACCATGCCAGCCCCTCAATCTAAAAGCATGCAGCTTGTACTGCACAGCAAGTGGAGAAGTCAGGCCCTGATCTCCATCTTCCCTCTCCCTGATACCCCAAAACTCACCCTAAGAACATTTCCATTTTTTATATATTCTTCATAAGAGTGTGAGAAGTGGTGAGAGCCACCCTTTCACCAGAATAACAGGTGGACACAGCTGCAAAGGTGCCCATCCAGGCTGAGGAGCAGCACAGTCTGGGGATTTGACAGTAAAAGGGAAAATGAAGAAAGCTGGAAGCTCTCTCCTGTACCTTTAGGTAAATAATTTCCCTTGTTTCACCTTCCAAATTACTGGGAAGGACCAGTCTGATATTGTTTCCTCCAGGAGAAAGCACAGGGTGCCAGGCAGTCACTGGGATGTAGCAGATGACACTGTCCAGAGGAAGCTCCCTTCACCTGCTTTTTTATATGTTAATAAAGACCTACAGAAACCATGTTAGGGACCCACTGAACCCAACTCTCTGCTGTGTTATTCTTATTCCTGTGTAAAACAGAGTACACAGCAAAACAGCACTTGAATAAGCCAGGTGGTGGGGAGCTGCTGCTGTCTCATTCTGCAGATAAAAGGTTCTCTACCTGGTCATCTTTCAGTTAACAGGATGCCACTTCCAGTGCCAACAGTGGGGTAAGCATTTCACAGGGCAGCTGAGCTAAGAAGCTTGTTTCTAATAAAAAAAGAAGAAAAAAATGAGTAGTCAGGCTACAAGGACCAAAATCCTCTTCCTGCAGCTGCTGCTATGCTGGAAAGAGGAGGAACACAACACAGAGGAACAAAACTTGTGATTCATGACTGTACCAGCAGGTTAGAAGGTCTGGCTTCTTACAAATTCTCTGCTGGTTGGTTGGATCTCTTCAACAAACACAAAAGCACCCCATCAACAGCCAGAGGCACAGAGCTACATATTTTGAGCAACAGTGGCCTTGATGGGGTTTTCTGGGACTCATCAGGTTGGAGAATAGAAAAACTTTAGAACTGGCACAACATACAGAACACCTACAGAACTGGTAAGGTACTAAGAAAGGAAAACTAAAGGACAGAAGAGAGCAGTTAAAGAAAACTGCCTTTTACTCCTGAGGTAAATGAACTGAACACTGGCAACATGGAGGAAAAGGGGGGAAAAATGAACCCACAGGGATGCTTGTACTATAAACCCTGTAAGTCACTCTGCAAGGCACATACCTCAGCAACATATTTTCCACATTTCACCAACTGCTGTTGTCCAGGCACCTTCTATTTTCAAAACCTTCTATGTATATAAAATGTATAGCAGGACAATACTTTTTCATCACATCCCTGTGTTGTTGTGTTTTCTCTTCACAAGGATTCCTGGCTTGGAGAAATGAAAAGTGTCATCTCTTAAGAAAAGCCTTTCTTTTTAAACACTTTCAAATTTGCCCTGTTTTAGCTAAACGTGACGTTCTTTGTGAACGTTAAACAGTGGAGAGAGAGGCTGAGAGGGAGAGAGAGACACACACACACTCACCCACTCCTGGGGAAGATATTCGTCCATTTAAGGCATGAGAAATCATCACATTCAGCAGCAGGTCTAAATACAGTAATATGAAGGTCCCTTTCACTCCCCCGAGCAGGAAAATGTCACTGTGTACCAGACACCCAAATACTTGGGAATCAAGTAAATCCCTCATTTTTCAGAAGGGAGCCAAATCCTGCTGCTGAACAATGATGGGACTGTAGTAGCTCCAATTTACTGGCTGCACCCCATCTCTGTCCCTCGGTGGCTTCTGGGCTGGGATGGCAGGGTCAGAGCAGTCATGGGATGCAGCACAGCATTCCCTCCTGCAGATAACACGGGGGGCCATGGCATATCTCACAGCTCCCTTCAGCACCTCCTGCTGCCGGGGGAAGGAGCAGGGGGAGCTGCATTCCCCACCCTGCAGAGCCTCCTGCTGGGGGCAGAGGCACAGAGGAGCTGCCCTGCACCCGGGGGCACATCCAGCCCAGCCCCTGCAGCAGCTCCTGCAGCTCTGTGCACTGTGCCTCGCACTCACACCACTGCCTCCTGCTGACCTGCCCAGGAGCAGGCACAAAAACAACCACAAATGTCCCGTGGAAAACATTTGAGAAGGACCAGATGTCTGTCACCCTCCCTTTCCCCTCCCTTGACCACCCTACATGCATATTTCTCCCAAAAATAAGAGCCACAGTAATCCAGCAATAACCTGGTGTTAAATAGTGGTAACTCATATTTATTACAATTATATACAATCATATTTTATATTTGAAATCTATACATGATCACACAGACGAGCACACTTGCTTGGTGAGGACAGTGAGACTCAGTTGGTACAAGAATTGCTCTGCTAGGATGCTCTGATGCAGTGAATAGGATCATTGGACACCACCACTTCACCAGCTGCAAACACAATGCTGCAAACTGCCAGAGGTTTAAAATTCACTGGTTTGTGTATGGCCCAACAGGGCAAAAAAGAAAAAGGCTGGACTGGGCAAGAAGGGCCAGTGGTTAAACCTCAGAACTGGAGCTGTTCTCTCTGCTAGAGAGACTGCTTTGCTGAAGCAGGTGCCTGTCACTGGAGAGGTATCATTTATGATCATTTTTCTTCTCATTTAGGGGAGAAAAAAAGGCTAAAAACCATTGCAAATATTCAGAATTAACCAACTATTTCAGCATCTGATTTCACCCCATTCGTTTGTTCATTCATTAATTCATTCAGGGCAGCTACAAATAAAATAGAAGATGTCAAAAACTGATGTGAGCTCCCTGTCTTTGGAGGAGGAAGGGTAATAATTGGGATGAGTGGAGTCAGCTTCTTCTAAAGCCTTTTACTGTTGAGCAATCATCACCAAAGCCACCTGTTCTCATGGACTTCACCTGGCCTTGGTCCCTACCAACACGCCACTCTGATGAATGTAAGCATGTGGAGTGGAAATAGCATTCTTTGGACCCCACAGAAATTTAGTGTTTTTACATGCTAGGTAGTTTCAGCAATTTGAGGCTTGGCATAAAGCTTGGAAGAGCCAAGACTGAGAAGACTGAGATCTGGTGAGGAATTTGAGGTTAAAATGTTCTGGTGGGGTTTTTTTGGTTGGTTGGGTTTGTTTTTGTTTTTTTTTGCAACAGAGTATCAAGTAGTTTGAGAAATAAAACAGGGCTATTTTGGGAAACAGAGAACTGGTTGGGCCTTATGTGGGATTAAAGGCTTGCGAAATCAAGGAGCTCAGGACAGACTGGTTTCTGAAATTGGATAGAAGGGCTCTAGGATGCAGCAAGAGGCCAACTGCTTCTGTAAGAGGGCGTACTCTGCAGTGTGGTGCATGGTAAGGCCATCGGTCTGCAGCCCTGCAGTGACCCCAGCTCAGGGAGGAAGGGCTGGGCGGGGAGAAGGAGCCGCTGCAAGGCTGCAAAGCCCTGTGCTGAAACAGGGCAATCAGCTGTTCAGCGAGCAATCACGACCCTGCTCAAGGTCAATCAAGGGGGGATCACTGCAGGGAATGGTAGCTGCTCTCTCCACGAAATGGGAGAGGCACTGGGACAGTGCAGCAGGCTGGGGGAGATGTGCAGCAGCAGCAGCAGCAGCAGCCGGGATGCCTTAGTCAATCTCGTTCTCGTTGCTGGCCCCCTCAGGTCTCCGTAGCTTTTCCACCTGCTCGTTAATCTGCCCATCCCCTCCTCGCCGGTCCTCAGTCTGCACACCCAGACATTCCTCCTCATCCACATGGCTAACATCATCATCCTCATCGTCCTCTTCCTCCTCGTCGTTCCCTTTGGTTTCCCGCTTCTCCTCCTCCCCCTGCACCTCCATGCGCACCTGGCTGGTGACGTCGATGGCCTTGGTGGCCTCCTCGGGGCCGAGCAGGTGGCAGCTGACCTTGGAGCCCTCGGGGCTGTGGCTCTCCTTCACGGGGGAGGACGTGGTGGACTCGTTGCTGACGGGGGAGATGTCACTGCTGCTGTTGTGGTTGGCAACGACAGGGTTGGAGGGTGAGCTCGGCTTCACCGGGATCTGCCACGACGGGATCTTGGGAGCTGAAGGGGAGGGAGGGAACTGCCTCCTGGGGGAGGGCACGAGGGAAGGAAAAGGAAAGAGAGGGGCTTTTGTTATAATACTGAGGGGTTTCAGCAAGACTCAAGCTGCAAGTCTCTTTGCCATAAATGAGCAAAAGCAAGGCCACTTCACTTCTCCAGAGAGATTCTTAAAGTGCTTTACAAGCACTCAGCAATCGAGCCTGTACACAAGGAAAATATCCCAGCTGGGCAGTCTGAAGCACTAAAATGATCTGATTTGGCCAATTTCACAAAGTAAGCCAGCACTCAGGAATGCTGCCTGTGAAAAGACATGGGTGTCCCTTTTTAAGACAATCACTAATTAATTGGTACAGAAAAATTCCCACTGGAGGAAGAAGTCAGACACGCCAGGTGCCTGAGCCAGGGAATTTCACCACCTGGCTCTCACCTCACTGTGCTACACCACTGTTGCATTCTGGCTCATTGCAATCCAGAGCCTTTCTCCCAGTCCCAGCAGGCACTTTACATGTTTGGGCCAGGCCCTGGCTGCCACAAACTGGTTCAGCTCCTCTGACTTGCATGGAGTCATACCAGCTTGCACCAGCTGGAAAGCTGGCCCTGAATCCTTTCCAGGTGGATTTTAAGGATATGATACTAGCATGCCCTAACCATGAGCAAGGCAGCTGAACTGCACCCAGAAGTGACTATCTAAAACAGAATACAGGTGCAGATGCAGTCAATTCCTCAAACTAGATGAGAGGCATCCTGACTGTGGGGGAAGTGCAAACAAAAAGGAAAAATCTTATCAATACCCTAAGGACTCTGTGATTTAAGGCCAGTTTGAAAAGCATTTTGAGACCTGCAAACAGAAAGTGATAGTGGAGTGCAAAATGGTGTTATTAAAATAGCAGTAACAGGATATAGAGGCAGTTCCTGTTGGAAATGCCTTTCCTCTCCATGACTGAGGGAATCCCAGAAAGCAGCACAACGTCTGCTCACACACTGCATCCATACCGGTTCAGGAGAAGTCCTTTTAAAGAGTAGATCTCAGATTTCAACTCATTAATATTCTGCGACTCCAGAATCCAGTTGGTGGAAGTTGTGGCCTAGAACATGAAAAGCAAGACGTAAAGATCAATATCTGAACTGCAAGATAGCTCACCAATGTCACTTTTTCCTATGCTGTTCTTCTGCTCCCATGTGGGAATTCCCAGTCCAGTGGATAACACATAAGCTCCATCACTTCAAACCTCTCACCTCTCAGATCTGAGCAAAACAACTTCCACACTAAGAAGTATTCGAACAGATCCCCAGGATGACCAGAAATAATTGTCTCAAGGTGCCTAGACTATTCAACATTTGCTTTGTGTTTGGGAGAGTAATTCATCTTGTCTCCAGTCCTGCCTCCCATGCACAACCATTGCTAAAGCATCTCAGGGGGACATTTCTTTTTTCAGGAGGCCAGCACTTGTGAGAATTCAGGCACAGCTGGGCCAACACTGGAGGTCTTCCACCAGCGTAACAATACACAGAGAGACAAACCAAATCATTTGGCACTGACCTACTGAATGATTTCTAGAGAAGAACTAGAACTAGGATCCTGAACAGCAGTGGGAGTTGCACTGAGTCAGGTCCTTTACTCCTTCATGTGACTGAACTTAGCTGAAGCAACAGATTTGAATATTGTATATTAACAACTGTTTTAAAACCATTTGCTCATTTCTCCTAAACCATGAAAGAAAGAATCCATTATCTGCACTCTGGCATTTAGAGGTGGACTGATAAATACGTACTTGAAAGTTGCAAACATTTTCCCTACTTGATCTGAAGAATTAGGTCTATGCTTGAGTTACCAGGTCATGTCTCCAGAAGCAGCTGGACTAGGCACTGTCTCTTGGATATTTCAAGGCAATGGGTGCAGTTTTGTGGGGATAAGTAACTCATGGAAGCCTGGTACAGCTGCTGTCAGAATTGCATCAGAATTGCCACAGGATATCAGGCAGAAATTACAGTAAGTAACTGAGGATAACATGCTGCAGACAATACTTTTGGCACTCTTTCTGTTAACCCTTTTGGGAACTTGAGAAATGGGAGTTTTCTAAGCACAGATCGTGGTCTATGGTTACCCATCCTTTTGCTCCAGTGATTCCTGTAGCCATGAGACCACAGAATACTCATGCCTGGCACACCCCACAGTAATTTCTGCTAAAAGCCATTAGGAACAAACATATTGGTGAGTATCACTGCAGAGATAGTTCTAATGAATTCCCCACCAAAGGAAGCCAGAATTGGAACAACTAAAAACTTTCCCTCAGCAGTTCCCACTAGATGTAGCCAGAACTGCTTGTTCTTACTCTTAAACAGACTTGAGCTACTGCAGAGTAACCCTGCAGCCAGCACTGCTCACAGTGACTTCTGGGCTTCAAACCCAAAGGGCTGGGAGAGGCTCAGGCTCTAGTAGCTGTGTTTTACACAGATGTGTTCCCTCAGGATTCACACTCCCAGCCCTCAGACAGCAAGAATCCAGGAGCCACTGTTCTGGCTTTCTAAGACCTTGAAAGCTACAGCAGCACATTAACAAGGGAGTGATTTCCACTCACTGGCCTGCAAAGGACTCAAATTTCCAAAACACATATGGTGCCAGATGCCTAGGATTTAGAAATAAAATCTGACATCTGGGGCTTTTTAGCCAGTCTCTTTAAAAACAGTTGTAGAAAATTCAAGCCTTGAATTTTTATGTACGTTTTTTAATTACTTAAAGTCCCTCTTTTTAATTTTTTACAGCATGCCAGTAGGAGTTTGAAAAGCAGATATAAAAACTTACATTACAGCTGAGAAAACACAGCTTTTATTCTTTGGTTTGTGGGGTTGCCCAAGTTTTTCTTTGTACACATGAGGTTTAGATATCATAACAATGTGTGCTACCATTTCAGTGCAGGGGGTAGAGAGGGGGGAAGGAAAACTTCTTCAAGACTCTCTAAACCACCAAGACTTATGGCCTTTTTCCTTCTTAAAGCTCAACATGTGTTCTTAATCTTAACACTTAAGACCTGAAAACAGTTTTCCAATTTCCGGACTGGCTCCAGGCCACTGTCAGGCCACAGTTCCCAAGGAAAATTGAAGCAGAGTGTTGTGACCATAAACTGGCTTTCATGGTTGCATTTACAGCTGTGCCACTGAGGGATTCCTCCTGTACAGTGTGCACAGCACAGAGTCAGCTGTGGCCCACCAGTCACACACCATCAAAGGATCTGCATCAGATTAAAGTCTGCTAAGGGGAGAAGACAACTGTTCCTGCCACAGGTAAAGGGCTGAACGCTGCCTAAAGGATGTGACAGAAAACTCTCCCTGTACAGAGAACACCACAAGATAACTGTGAGCAATCCTGGCCCTGAACAATCCAAGTTTGTGAGTCAAAGGAAGACTTCATCTCCATGTGACTGCTTCACATCCACCCTGCCTCACACATCAACGCTTTCTGTCTGATAGAGTGCTTGGGCCAAGGAGTAAAGCACTAATTCTCATTGCCAGAAAGAAAATCAATTTTGGTTAAAAGTGGTTATTTTATTTACACATGTAACAACACAAACTAGTCAGAATTGATGGTTTTATTGCCAAGGTCAAGTCAAGAGTCAAGGAGAATGGGTCACTGTGTGTCATTAACAGAGTTGTAATGGGGCCACCTGTTACACTCAGCTGACCAAAATCATTGAAACAAGAACCCAAAGAGTGAGAATGTTTGGCCATTACCTGGATCTGAACAAGTGCCTTAAATACAGTCTTTCAAGTGAATACAAAGGTGATGGCTGGGTTGTGACCCCAATGAGAGCTTTCCATGTGCCCACAAAAGAAACCATGCATGCTCCAAAATGCTCTAAAGGTGAAGAGTCAGAAGTTGGTACCTTAGAAGCAGCCAGTTCTTGGGTGAGCTCTTGGATTTTCTGTTGCTGCTGGATCAGCAGCTCCTGGACAGCTGCTAAGGTTGTTTGTAACTGAGTCACTGCAAGGGAAAAAGCAGAAGAGTTAAACTGAGATACATCCACATACACACACTCACCCACGCCTTTCCTGCTGTCTAGCTACAAAGATGCCTCTATTCCTCCTATATTTAATTTATCTATGCCCGCCTGCTCACTTTAATCCATATGATTTATCTGCACTACGGGTAATCTACCTGCACTGCATCTAACCTCCAGTATTTCTAGTTTATCTTTCCATTGTATAGATGTCTATAGCCCACAGTATATCCGTCTAAAACCTCTCCCTTTTAATTATATTGGTTTATGATTTGTACATCTCCCTGAACTTACACAATGTTTGTATCATTTATCTATCTCGGGGCTCTTGCAGGCAAACACTGGGGCTAACTCCAGTCTGGGAAGAGGCTGCTCTCAGGGCTGACCTGAGGGTATCATGAGAAATGAAAGATGCTTTTCTTCTCACCCTTCAATGAAAAGTGTAATTAGCATCCTCCCATTCTTAACCTACTAGTTCCTTCAACCCCAATATTTTTATAAACTTACTGCTGAAAATCACAGTTTTTTCATCCCAATTGAATATACTTTGCACTTTTTCCCCTTTTATTTCAAGAGAGCACCCTGTACTCCTACACCCCAACAAACACTGAAGAACTTCTGCTGGACGCCAGCTGTAGAACTTTTTCTACTTTGGCACTTTATCCAAAGCTTACAGGGAGTAAACAAGCTGATAAAATAAATAAAATTGAAAACTCTATTGGTGTGACAGGTAACAGCTAATCCAGACCATCATTAGGGCCTCAGGTAATGAACAGACACCCTATAGAGTCAATAACATAGAAGGTGGCTAAGGTCAGAGAGGCACAGTAATTACAGACTCTCCTGACCCTTCCTCGGATTTTCAGATGGAAGGTGGGGAGAAACCACCAAAAAAAAAAGCCCCTGAAAACATCAGAGAAGCAGAAATTAAAAATGAACTTTACAGCCCTCCGAAAGGCTGTCATTTTATTCCCCTTATTAATATTCTGAGGTTGGGAGCCTTTCCGTAAAAACATAATTAATTGAGGCCGTGCCGACAGTAAACAAGCAATTTCAAATTAAACCGAAATGACGGCGGCTTCATTTGCAAATGTGAACAGATTCTCAGAGCAGATAAATGAAGTCACCACATAAAGTGGAGATGGAGGGAAAGAAAGGGGTGGGGGTCTTGGCAGAATGGAGGATCCAGGGAGAAAAGCTTTGAGGGGTGAATTGATGGAGTCATTAATCTTTACCTGTCTGTGTCACACTGCCACTCATCTCAGCAATGTTCGACTCAATCCTCTGAAGTTGTTTCCTGTCTTCTTTGCCGCCCATGATGAGAGGGACCAGGTATTTCTGCATGGAGTACAAAAACTTTTTCAGGAAACAGCGATGTGCAGAGCACTATTTCTAATCTACCTGAAACGTCCTCGAATCCCACCCCTCAAATCTCAGCCTTTATCACAGCAATCATTTATCTTCACATCTGGCTGAGAAAAGAAATTCCCTCTACAGCAAGTGCTAAAAGAAGTTGCAGAAGAAGAGTTTTTTGGTTACATTTGTCAGGGTATTGAAAACCAATTCCTAAGTCTGGACACAGCCATGAAATCTGCCTCATTCTGCCCCTGAAGAGGGTGGACTGGACATAACAGGTCCCAACTCTCCTCTAGCTACCATGGAACCTTCTGCAGCTGCATCCTAGGAACAGAATATGCTTCAACAAGAGCATAAGCGAGGGAAATTACCTTATTGCTAGTAGTTTGAGATCCACAGCTAAAAACTAGTTTTGTTTGCTTGCCACATTTTGACTCTGCATTTTCATGTTAAGTTCTACATTTCTCAAATATACCAATGGCAGTGCCAGTGAGGACAGAGATGCTTCACCAGTTTTGGACACAAGCAGCATAATGTGTTTCTCTCAGAGTACAGTGTGGGAGTAGCAAGGGACCTGTTACCTTGTAGAGCTGGTGGAATCCAAAGGCAATTCCTGCCATGATGATAGCCAAAGCCCCATAATCTCGCCATCTGGAGCCAGGGGGACCTAAAGTTCAGAATCAAGAAATAATCAACAGTCAGAACTGCAGGTGACAACATTTTTGTACATTCATTTTATCAGAGAAAAGAGTAGCAATTAACACAGTGTGCAGGCCTGTGGCTGAGGACAGTTAAACAGATCTCTGCTATTGACTCTGGCCTTGCAGTGCCACAGGGAGGAAAATCACAGCAGCAATTAAAGAGGGTCCATCAAGCTGTTTTGCCCTACTCTTTCCTTGCAGAAGGCACTCTGAACCCAGGTAACTGTCCCTGGGGCTGGTAATAGCTAAGGTTAACTCCTTACCTGAATACTCCTTACCTGGATATTGTTACCCAGTATCATAATTTTTGAAAAAGGGGACAGAACCAGAGACCCAAAAGAGTGCAGGAGAAAGGAAGTAAGGGAATGTTTCAAGAAAGAAGAGAAATCTATCAGGGCAATAAATGGGTTTATGAAAACTGTGTCAGCAATTATGGACCATTTCAATGAGGAAGGATCCAGTGTCTTTCGAGCTTAAATTACAAATAGGGACCAAAGCACACATAAAGAGCAGAGAGAAAATATGCAATTAAGTATCTACAGAGAGGTACAGAAGTAGATAAAAGCTTGAGATATTTAACACACAATTGTACAGAGAAGCTTAGAGGCTCCACAGAGGAAAGCAAAGACATGGTGTGCCCTGCTCCTTCAGCAGGATCAGAAGATACCTGCAGCTTTCCAGCAGACTGATCCTGTCACCTCCCTCGCAGTTCCCTGAACAAACCCTGTACTGCCCCCAGTTTTCTTTAACAATAAAGAGGATGCAGAATGATCTGCCTGAGTGCAATGGCAGGATGTGGGCAGAACTGATGAGATGGGAGACCGGTGTGGTCTCCAAATCTACGTGTGACTACAATGTCTCATAAATGCATTATGTTCTTCAAATCTCAATTCAGGAGGCTTAACTGGCTGAAATGGGTGCCTCTGGTCTCCTTTCTGCTTTGCTCACCTATTGCCATTTTGCTTGCTGCTGAATTCTTCTACAGGCACTCCATTCCAAAAGTTACCCCCAATCCCAGCACTCAGGGTCTAGAGTACCTGGGTCTAACTCCCAAACACTGGCTCTCAGAGCTTCTTGCTACATTTGAGCTGAAATTATCCTCTGGCTAGAAATCTGAACAAATTAAGGCATCTCTGTCAGAACTGGTGAATAGTGTCACCAGGAGTATTTTGGGTTGCTGCAGTTGCAGTTTTGGAGCTTAGGCACATGATCAAATTATCATAACTTTTTAACTTAATGAGTTAACACACGTCAGCTAAGCTGCAGTAACTGGCTGTGTACATGTCAGGATTTAAAATGATCTCTTGCTAATCTTGCTGTGAACCCCAGCCATCTCTCCCACTTTCCCCTCTGTGCTGTGCCCCCACTGTCACTCTGGCATCTGAAGTCTCTTGGTTGTCCAGTTCTCTCCCCTGAACTTCTGACTAAAAATACCCTTTTATGACAATTTGTTCCAGGCTTGTCCAGGGTTGATTATCTCAGGGGTCTGTGATCCTGCCCATGGCTGTCCTTGATGGGCTGTCCCAAAGTCCCTCCCAGCTCCACTGACCTCCGAGCAGGAAGGAGACACACCTGTAGGAATCCATCTGCTTTGCCCTTTCACCTCACTCATCTCTCCCTCCATTCCTGTAATGCTTGAGCTAAGAACATTTTATTGCCCCCTGGTTTTCATTATTAATGAAAAGGGACCAGAATGATCTTTCCTAAAGTTCAGAGAGTCTATAAAGACAAGAAGCTGAAATGCCATTTTACTCATTTTAGAGATGTGTGAAATCTGTCTTGTGACACAAAAAAAAAAAAAAAAGTGCAGGGGGTGGAGAGAAGAAGTGAGCAAGGGAGGGAAGCAGTAAAGGCTCTGCACTGACCACAGCAACCTCACAATGTTACAAAGAATGTCACAGCTCTGCCTAAATTCCACGCTCAACCTTAATTTTTCTCTGCAATTCTCTAATCTAAAGCATGAAGAGAGACTTAGGAGTTTCTTCATTTTAAGCTCCATGCTCACACTGACTGTTTGCATATCCTCAATTTCTCCACTTGTAAAACAAATAAAAATCAGATAAAGTGAAAAAGCACTGACAGCCCAGTTACTTTAGGCACTGCAGAAGTAACAAACCATTCTACTAAGAGACCTTCAAAAGTCAAATGCAAGCGACACAGATGTTTTCTCCAGATATAAATCTGTGGTTTTGCTAAGTATATTTAATTTCCCCAGCAGTCACTGTAAATTGCATTTCCAGAATAAACACTATTTTCAAGATCTCCATTCACCTAAGAATTAACTTTCCTAACAGCAACTAATTAGGCCATGTGCATCCAACTTAAGGTCAGCTTCACTAGTATCCAGATTTAAAACTGTAGAAACTGATGCTGGAAGAAGTGATTCTCCAAAAGAAAACCGTGAATCGATGGAAAGGTGTTGGGGAAATAAAAAGAAGAGTTTGGATTCTAGTTTAACTGTACAAGGAAACAGTCTGTATTCCACAGACTGCCACATAATGAAGACACAAGGATGGGAAAAGAAGATCCAAATGTCAAGAAAAAAGTCACTGGAGCTGATTTTTAAGCAGGTGTAAAATCTGCACAAACCCCCATAAATGGAGCCCATAAATACCATGGGGAACAACACAGACAATACCTGGATGATAAACATGCAGCTTTGCACACCTTGCTCAGAAACTCCCCTGAGTTTGCTTGTAATTATATGGGTTAGAAAGGTAAAAAAAACCAAAAACACAAACAACAAATTAATCATTTAAATATTTAAAGTCAGATTTTTGTCCCCACTGCTGGATTAGTGTATTTCATAACACCAATAGCAGACAGCCCTGTTTTTTTACTGGGGGTTCATTTTAGAGCATGTTTAAACTAGTCAGATTGAGTGATGCTTCCAGCAACTAATCGCATGTCAAATAAAAGATATTTTATGTAATAAATTACTGCTACAAGTAATTCAAATGTCATTTATCAGTTTTATTATCAGTCAGGCAAAGTCTTGTTTCTCTATATTAATCAAATTCGAGCTTTCTTTAAGCTTTTTTTTTAAAGCAGTTTTGACACCTCTTGGCAAAAGTACAAACTGGAGAGAAGGAATTACTCCTCCAGAACAAGAGGAGAAGTGATAGAGATGGTATTGACCTAAAATACTAGAAATTTAATTATTGTCTCTTCCCCAAAGAAGTTTTTATACTTTCTCTTCAACCAGAAGGGGTTCAGCATACAAAACCTGTGCTACCCTGATGGCTTACAAGTGTGGTTTTTTTCTTGTTAACTCTTCAAGAATTAGGAAATATGTATAAAAATTACAGATACTTCCAATAAAACATTAGAACATTAAGTTCAATTGTACAAAAGGAAGTATTTAAGTGGTATGAATTTAAGAAATAGGACAAACTGTGGTGGCAACAGCAGGAGATCAAGGAAGCAAATTCAAAAGGGGTACCCAGGATTTATTGCTGTGACTCACAGGAGTGGGCATCTCACACCTGCATTACTGGCAACATCACCAGCTTGGCTCTTGCTTCATTCCTGCTGAAGAAATGCCTGAGAAGGTTCTGAACCATCCTGAACTCCTGTACTTGTAACCCACAGTTCCAATGTAATTTTTAAACATGAAGCAGCAATACCTTGTGGGAAGAGGGTGCAGAGAGAAATCAGATTTCTTAAAACACAAGCCTCTGTTTTCAGCACAAAACCCTCCTCACTTTGCGTTTTGTGTAGAGGTGTCAGAACTACTCAAAAAAAAAAAACAAACCTTAAAAAGAAGCAAGGATGTCAAACACAAAGTGGTTCAGGTCTTGAAGACCTAAACTCTAGCAGATCAGATGTTGCTTCACAAGAAACTCAGTGTCTTCTTTGGGGAAGGCAAATATAGCTTGCAGTCTTTTTCAATATGAGCTCTTCAACGTGAGCTGTTCCCATCACCAAGTCAATGTAGAGACTGAGCAGCCTCTCTGTCTCCCTGGCCATTCAGATATTCTTTCAAACTTCTACTCTAGCAGCATTCCAGCTCAGTGTCAAACACTCTGTGGGATGATAAGCATAACAGATAGACAGAAAAAGTAGCATCTATCTTCCTCTGTACATGGCAGCCCCTGCCAGGACTGTGAAAGATAAACTGCCTTAGTAAACCATCACAGAAAAACTGTCCTGAAGCAGATTTGGACAATTCAGGAGAATTCATGACAGGATTAGCATCCAACTGATAAAACAACACACCTTGAAGGAGCACTGAGCCACTGCACAGCCTTACCCATCAGGCCTAGGAAAATACACATATTCCTTTTGCAGTTCTGACACCATGGAAAGCACTTAATAGGAAGACAACAAAGATGGATCCATCATTAACACCCACCAAGACTACACCAGTCAAGAACTAGAATAGGGCACAGATGAGAGCTAATCAAAACAAGTATTTTGGTGAAACAAATACCATGTATGTCCAGCTTTTTATTCATTTTATGGATCCATTTAGAGGTTAAGCTTAAATCAAAGGTCTACTACCAATGGCTAGAGTGGGAAGGAACAATACCTAATGAATGAATTGTCACCCCTTCCCCAATTCTGGGGGCTGCTGAAAAGGACTGCCTCCCAGGGAAAAGCTTTGGGTTCAAATTATTTAAAAAGCACCAACCAGATCACAAAGCTAGAGCACAAGTTTACAATCAGAGTCTCTGTGAAGGATTTTATTTGGTGGTATTTTTAGTCACCTTTGATTTCCAAGCATTACAGAATCATTCTTTCAAAATTCTCTTTCAAGCTGTTACTGGGAACATTCTGATGTTGAAATTTTAGTTAAGATTCTTACCTAGCAAGAAGAAAATGGGAGCTGCTGCTTTGAGGAAACCCAAAATAGCAAAAGGAAAACAACCAAAGAGTGATAAAGCTGCCAGGGTTAACAGTGATGACGGTGTTTCCCAGGCTGAACTGCACTGCATGCCTCTTCCCTGCTCTACTCATACTAGGGGAACACTGAAATAAGGGAAAATTAACTCTTCCAGTACCAGGTTGTAGGTTGTAGTAAGAGTTATCTGAATGAGCAATGGACGGCACCAAGAGGGATCTGGCCCTGCTTCTACAGCCAGACAGCAGATTTTGCTTTCCTGGCATTTTCTGTGGACTGCAGCAGACAGGAATTAGCCCAGGAGGCAGAATTCAGCCCTAGAGTTCACGAGCACAAACAATACAACAGCCAGAAATATTCCAGTTCTGAGCCCACTATTATCACAAAAGTTTTTCATCTCAAACTGTGCCAAATCAGAGCGGCTAAAATCTCCAAAAGTAAGTCTAGTATTGTCTCCAGCAATAGCAAACCTGTGCCATAAACTAATACACAGCTCTAAGTGGAGTGTTACATCAGTCAATATCTGCCACAGAGCTGTTTAAGAGCAGCAACAAAATCCTATTCTTTATACTTGGCAGGTAAGTGAAGTGATTTTCAAACTACCAGACACACATGTGAGCTGAACAGCTTCTTTTGATGGATTTTTAATGGTGTGTACTTTGGTTTTTATTGTTTGGAGCTTAGATACTTTTTTGCGAGGTTTGTTTTAAAATGCAAATATATATGTAAATTTTGAGTCTACACAGATTACGTTGGGATGCTACAATTTCTTTGAGAGTGTATTTTGTACACAAAAATCATACAGTCATATCCACATAGTCTACACAGAATTTCTGCTGTCACCTCAGATTATTTAAGATCAGGGAGAAAAGTTTTCCAAGTTTGAGAAGGGGAGCCTGAGTCCCGTGTTGACAAAGTGCTTTTCTGATGTCCTTACAGTGTGTCAGAATCTAATTTGCATTGACTTTCCACCTTCAGGTCAAGAGGTGTCACAGGCTGGTATGGATGACATTTGTTTGTAGACAGTGATCATTTGTATCTCATTTTCCTTGTGTAACACGATCTTGTCACAGGCATCAGCAACCACCAAGTGCATTCAAATAACATTTGGTGTCTGATTCTGACAAAAAGTATGGCATCAGTGGAACTGAAATTCGGGATGCAGCACACGAATCTGTGAATTGCTGCAGGAATCACAGCAGAAAGGAACGGGGAGCAGGTATTTTCCAAGTGGCACTCACTATACACCACGGGGTGAGGAGGCTGAGCTGGCACCGGGTGTGTGGAAGGACCTGGGGACTGCGGCTCATCCGCGCTCGTGCCCGACTGCTGGAAAGCCAGGTCGATTTCTTCATCTGTCAGGCCTGGGGGAGCAGAGGAAATGAAATCAGTTTAGCACCTTTACCCACTTTATGCACACATAATTAAATTCTCAAGCCAGGCAGAACCCTTTCAAGCTGCAAAGAATTTTGGCACTGACTTGAGCAGTAATGCCTCCCCAATTTTGGATTCACTGGAATGTCTCCCTCTCTCTTTCTCTGTTGCAATTTAACCTTAAGCGACAGAATATTAGCCTCAACGCTGCTTCCAAATGTGGCTCATTCAATTTCCTTAATTTATCCTTGAGTTTATTGCTGCTTTTGAAGTAGCTTTCTATTGCAATTCTCCATTCTTCCCCCGAAAAAAAGATACCATCAACTGCAAATGTGGCTCATTTTAATCTGTAATGGTGTAAAAAAAAAAACAGGGGAAAAAACTAACAATAATGCATGAAAACAGACAGGGAAACAAAAAACTAATTATTGGGTTAGACGACTAATTAGTCTAGATCGTTTCCGAAGACGGGAATAATTTGCTTTATTTTATGACAAATGCAGAAATAAAAAGAAAAAAAATCAGGACTGACTGTGATTAGTATGAATGGGACACAGAATGTAAGGAGGAAATAAAACTATAACAAAACAGATCAAAACAAGGCCAAGCCCAACTTTCAGCTGAGCATTGCCCCGGCCCATTGGTGCATGATTGGATTGCCCCAGGGCAGCCTGGCTTTCATTTCACACAGAGCTGGAGTAACACTGCACACATGGTACGTGTTGTTGCAGTGACTCCTGCCATCAGGAAATGCCACGATGACCATCTGTAATTGGCCACAACATATGGAAACTATTTGGCCAACAAGGGGGAAAAGAAAAGCAGCTAAAGGATTCACAATGACCAGCATCTCTGAAGAAGGAAGCACAGCTGGATTATTTTTTCCAACAAGAGAAAACATCCTCTAGAAAAAGAATTTAGTACTCAGATGGCAGTCATGAAGTGGGAGCTGGACAGCTGTGTAGCATTTACTCTCCTGCACAGAAGCACATAAAAACCCAGTGTCCCTGCCACGAGGAACATGTGAGGGGATTCGGGACCTTTCACCATCCACCAGGGCATGCAAAAACACTCAGAAAGAGGGAAGTGAGAATATGGATTTAAGGAAAGAGATTTATAAGATAAGAGGCAGACCACTTCATTCTCACATGTTTCTTGAAGGGACTGAGCACAGTGAGGAAAATGGAATGAACAGAACAGCACTGGGAAAAAAATAGGGGAATACTTTCTCTCAATCACCCCTGCTTGAGATCCATAAAGCACTGCTGGTAGATGAAATTCCTGAAGTTAATACTTTTAAAAACCTAGCTTTTTAATATTACAGAGAGATGAACATCACAGCTACATCCCTTCTTAAATATCAGAGGAGAAGACTGGGATTACCTGGAAAACCTCTTTCATCTGGACAAGATGCTTTTAAGGCATTGTGATCTTGGCCTCAAGATCAAGGGAGTCCTGGAGCTGATTCCTTAAGCATATATATGGAGTAAGTCTGCACAGTGGACACTCAGTAATGCCAAGCCATCTCTGCACTCAGAAATACACCTGCCTTCATGCTGGTCATTTCTCACACACGGTAACAAAAATGGACAAGATATTCTAAGGGTCTCCTCAGGCAATTATAGCTAACTTTACCACATTTCCCTTTGGAATGATTTTTTTTTCAAATTCACCACCTATATACACACACAGTATGAATTTTCCATGCCCAAATTATTCAACTTGGATATATTAATTACATACAAAAGTGTGAATTTCAAAGCCAGATCTAAGTGTCATCTGTTCCAATATCTCATCTTGCTTTATTTTATCACTGTCCTATCACTGCACTACATGAAAAAGTATCCATGTTCATTCATTGTTCTAATCCAGCAGGAAATTGGCAACCCAAAAATAATAGCACTGCCCTTGGATGCAAAAGCAGTGTCACAAAAACTGGGGCTTTGTGTCTAGTACAGCTCCCAAACAGGTATCTCAAGAAAAACACCTCAGCTAACAGTGGAACTGCTCTAAATCCACTTTCCAACACTTTGGAAAACAAACATTTCTGTTGTTCTGCGGCTGCAGTAAGATCAAGTCCATGCAGAATGCAAAAGGTTAAAAGGAACAATAAAGGAAACTGCCAATTGTAAGTGAATTATATTTGGCTTTGAAAGCCGAGCCACGGCTATATTATAAAAGGCATCTCTTTGCGTTGTTTACCATCACCCTGACTAATGCAGACCTTTTTTTTGTTTTAAATAATCTCATGCAAATTAGACACACACTTCCTTCCAGTTGATTGCTATCTGCAAGGAATAATCTAACCGCAGAGGGTACTGAGCAAGGACTGAGCTGAGGAGAAGGATGCACGGAAACTGTCTTCAGAGCCCCACAGAATGCAAACCTGCTCCCTTCCCCCAGCCTCATCCTCTACAGCACCACAGGCACTGCAAGGAATTAGTCATAATTTTCACAAAGTTTTTGAAATTCCTTTTCAGGCTTGAAGGTGTTGATTTGAATAATCCAGCACCCATGATGGTTTTGACCCTCTTTTTTGATTGCCACTGCTGCCACTCAATTTGCAGGCATCACTCAGCCTCTGCAAATTGTAGTCAAACACAGAAGCAGAGCAAGTCAGAGAATGAAATGGGTTGTCACAAGCATCTCTTGGTGCCTGCACCTTGGGTGCTGTATTAAAGAGTTCTTTTGTACAAGAACTTTTAAGATTTCACTGTCTGTTTATGTCCTTTTATAATATCTTTTGCTATTTAAGGACCTTATGTACATCAAAATACTGTTCCTCTTATGACCACTCTGCAGCAGAGGAGAACTTACAGGACTGTTACCCTTATTTCACAGATGAGGAAGAGGTGACACATACAGACACGAGAAGTGCTCCAAGGTCAGAACTGAACCTCCGGCAGACAGAAAATAAAACTCAGGAGATGTTTTACCTATTTTCTGTCAAAGCACAGTAGCAATAATTGCAATGTAAAATCCTTCCATGAACTTAACCAGATGAGCCACTGCTTTTTCTTCTTCTGATGCAGTCTCTGGCATATTAGTGACAACCCTTTTCCCATCCTATGCACTGAAAATATATTTTTCTTCATTATATTCCTCCTTACATTGCTCAGTCCAGTAATTGACACAAGATTTTCACAACCTGAAGGCTACATCAGTTTTGGGGAGACGTTTCTGTTTAGGTGAAATTAAGAATTCTGCCATAATAAAGAAAGGTGGTAGGCAAAAATCAGTTTCTTTGTGGGTTTCCAAAGCCAGCTTTATTACCAGTCTAGGAGACCACCCTGAAGCAGGGACAAAAGGCAGGAGAGGCTGTGGGGCAGGGGGTGGCAGCTGCTGGCTTTTCCCCACACACTTTCTATTAAGGCAAAAACAAAGTAGGACAGGACAAGTTGTTTATCTACAACAAACTCCGTGACCACCTGAAGTTAGTGCCTGGTACCACATGACTAAAAGGAAGATCTGCACCCTGAAATGACATTACACTTCTGTTCCTGGAAGCCACTGAGTCAACTCTGCTCAGAAAGAACATGGCCACATTTTAAAAGAATCATCATAAAATCCTTCTGGGATCTGATCCAGACTAATGATTCCACCTGTTCAGTCAGTTACGTGCAGTGCTGGGTGACTGTTACCAAATCTGTCTCCTACATCCTACTCTGTGCTGAGCTGAATGTTCAGAAAGGTCAAAAAGGCAAAGTCTCCTGATCTATTTTCTTTCACACATGGTCATTCACGAGGCTGAGCCCAACCCAATATTTGAATAAAATATAAGGTTTCAGAAATATCACTATGATTTTTTTCCCCTTAATTTACACTGAGACATTGCATTTGAATGTAAACATCCTCCTACTGCACTTCCAGCTCAAACTTTAGTAAAGGAACCCACACATCAAAGGAACATGGACTGGTCTCAACAGTCAGGCTGAGAAATGCAGAAATAAAAGTAATTCGAAAAGTTGCTGAAAGGGCTTTGAATTCTTACAGCTCTATTCATCTACAAGACTGTTAATTATGCAAGTGCAATCTTTCAGAAACATGATACACTTTAACCCATCAGGGTGACTAAGCAGCAATCAGAACTGATAAGGGTGCTCTGACCTCAGCTGCACAGCACTAAAATAAGGAAGGAAAATCAGACTAACAGAACAATGCTAGGAATTACACAGCGAGTCAGCCAGGACTGAAAAGGTTAAAATAAAAAGTATTTTGGCATAACAAGTATAAATAAATAAATAAATAAATAAATGCAGCAGCAGTTTCTCTTCCTAGCTAAGCTTTTTGGAGTCTATAATAAAATGAAGTGTAATGGAGGAGAGGAGGGCAATGTCAGAGGGTGAGGGTTTGGGAGAGAGGTTGTTAAGTATCTCCCTCTCCTCAGCTGTGTTTACTCCATTTACAGGATCCCGGGTGATTGATAGACAGACAAAAGAAAAGCAAGCAGATAGTAACCCCCCTCTGGGAGCACCAGCAAAGGGGACAACTCCTGACATCACACACAGCCCCAAACTCTCCTTAGCCACTTGTAATTAAAAAGACAGAGCAAGATATGCAAACCAGAGAAAAAGTAAAAGAGGATTTTTTTTTTATTATTTATTATTAACATTTTGTTGGAACAGTAGAGTGCAATAAGGACTCTCAGAGCCGTTAAAAGTCGTCGGGTGACCTGCAGACCCCTATTTCCCAGAGCCTTGTATAAAATTGAATTTTTTAAACATAAATTACACGTAATGACGACACTGTAAAAACTAACAGTAATGGAAAGCTGTGCTGTATTTCATTAGCCTGTATTATTCCGTGCCACCTGATCCAGCCGGGCCTTGTTTATGAGTTAGTGTGTTAGCAGATGCCGATGGAAGCATTTGCTTCGACCTTGCTCTTCTCATTGGGGCATGAAATTACGACGGCAGCACCTTGATATTACAGCCATAAATACAGTAAACTGCAAATTTAAGCCAACGGCTCCTATTGTCTCTGAACATAA